TGTGCTTGAGTAAATTTTACATTCCTAATCCAAATTGTCTCCCATGTCTCCAATAAGATCGGCTCTTCTATGTTTTGAGCCCATTTTATCATACAATCCTTCACCAGTTCTGTTTCCGAATCCAATTCAACCAATACTCCATAAATTCTTTTTATATGAGCTTGAGATTGATCTCTAATCTGTTTAATCAAATTCACATTCTTGACAAGAAATTAGAGTTAAATGTTGTTACCACTACATCACAAAGTAAGTAGGGAAAAAATGTCCAGAATCTCATCCAGAAAAATAAAACTCAGGTTAAAAATCTTAATTTCACTTTTTTATGGCATATTGCTCCTCCTATGTGGGAATTTGGCCCTTCTCCCAAATAATTCTCTTTATTGAGCAAAAATTACTCTACCTTATATTCTACTATGAAAACAATCTATGCAATTTATTTAATTTTGTGTATTTTAACTACCATCAAAACAAAACATATAAACCACAAAGCTATTTATATTAATTAAAAATGTATTAAAGTGTTATGATCATCCTCCTCAGAATCTTGTTTGTATTAATTTACAATGTCCAAGAACTGTGATTGCTAAGAGTCAATGGGGCAATTAAGAGTTGGCATCAACGTCTCTCTTGGTCCTTCTCTTTCTGATGATTAATTTCCATTTTAGTGATAAATTATGAAATTATAATAATCTTGACTGGATACCTGGATTTTAAAAGGAACGTTTTTGACATTTGTTTTGTAAATTAGGTTGCAAAAGAATTTAGCTAGAGGGAATATAAAGAATATCAATTCCATAAAAGTACAGTGATGATATTGAGCAGTGAGAACTAACGAATCATATTTGTTCTTTATTGGCATATCCTAGAATGTAAAATGAAGAACAAAATTAGTTTCACAACCTTGCCCCATTGATTTCAATGAATTATCACTAAGCACAACTAATCTGTTCAAGGATGGCCAGTAGAAGGCAAATTCACCTTTGTCCTTTTATGTACAGACTTATGAAGGCATTTTCCTTCACTGCCAAAGATGATGATGTGCTGTCAGACAAAAGTTGAGACATACAAGAGAAATTAGCAAAATATAAGGCTGAATATGCAGCTATATCTTTATCATCACTTAAAATTTCTGTGGGAGTGACAAAGCCAGCTACGTATTAGATTCCCTTTGATAACTTTAAAAAAAAACCTCTCCCATTGGGAGATAATTTTTGGCATAAACAAAGGGATTGGCAAACACCACGGGAGGGACCAGGAGCAGCCTTTGTGGCAACTCCCTCCACAGGAGATATAAATAAGGACAACTGGGATGAAGGATTGCAGTTGGAATCTGAGTACCAGGCTGTGCAGCTAAAGTGGGGCTTTTCTAAGATTTGGATTTTAAATCTAGATCACTATGAGTTGTGGCACTAAGGGTGGCAGGGTCAGTGGTGGAGGCAGCATCAAGATTACATCCTCAGGGTCCTCAAGAGGACTTTCTGGAAAAAGTTATGGAGGATCCCGGAGTGGATATGGAGGAGGTGGCTTCAGCAGTGGTAGCTGTGGGAGAATTAGTAGAGGAAGAGTAAGCTATGGAGGTAGCTGCTATGGTGGTGGCAGCTATGGTGGTGGAAGTTATGGTGGCTATGGTGGAAGTGGATATGGTGGTGTTTGCTATGGTGGTGGCAGCTATGGCGGCGGCAGTTATGGCAGTGGCAGCTATGGTGGTGGTACCTGCTACCCATTCAGCAGTGGTAGTTTTGGTGGTGGTGATGGAGGTCTCCTCTCCAGCAACGAAAAGGCAACCATGCAGAATCTTAACGATCGCCTGGCTAATTATCTGGACCAGGTGAAAAGACTGGAAGATGAAAATTGTCAGCTTGAGATCTGGATCAAAGAATGGTATCAGAAGCATGGTGATATTGGACCAGACAAGGACTATAGTTGCTATTACCAAGAAATTGACCAACTCTACAATGAGGTATGTATACAATCTATGATCATAAGATAGATTGCAGCTTTAGTGCCATCCATGTAAAAGATGAAGTGGGAAGGCCCATAAAAATGAAAGAGAATTTGGAAGAAGTGTCAAAAAGGGAGATCACAATCAGTGTTGTAGGAGATGAAATGAGATGGAAACAATCATTTTGTAAATAAGCATAGAGTTTAATCCTATATCAATTGTTTCTTGCACACTAATGTTAAATAAAATTTAATTCTTCATCATCTATAGCTTTTCTAAGTAAATGAGAAATCAAAATCAATAATATTCCTGCTCCTTCCTACATTATAGAAGGAGGAAAAGAGCTAATGAGGAAAAAGACAACATCAGTATAAGAATTTGTTTTTTTGTAGTGGTGGTCGTGGCAGCAACCTTTTAAATTATTTATTAGGACTGTGCAGTAGTTCACTCACATTTGAAATATGAGTTGACAACACTTTGAACCAAAGGTGTTTCCAAGATTGTGCTGCAAATGAGAAAGGTTGCCATAGCAGTCCTGGAAGGAGACATTTTTGTCAGAGGAGACTTGCACAGCCATGCACGCTTCAAATTACATTTGCCCTTAGAACCTGGATCACTTCACAGATATTTTTTATCTCCCAAATAAACATAGACTAAATTGGTTCATTTGTGACAAATAAATTTACCACATTGTGATATTTTAAACAGATGCTATAGAAACTGAGACTTGTTAGACTGTAATTAATAATGATATGATGACAAAGCATAGTTATTAATTTAAGAGTTATTAATTGTAAATATTCTTAATTCTCTCAATGCATCATTTTATAATTCAGTCTGTATTTAGTACAGATCAGTCATATAATGTAAAAAAATAACAGGTTGGTGTCAGCAGGGTTTCCAAGAGGTATATTTTAGCAGGGATTTTAGTTTCTTCTTATAGATTTACTGAGAACATCATATATTATGAGACTAAATTATTTAGAAATATCTGTTTAGAGATGAAACTAAAAGGAAAAAATATATTAAAGATCAACAGAAAGGTATTAGGCAAAAGTGGGATGCTAGCAGGCAAGGAAATTTGTAGTGATAATTAGCTATGAAGTACACATATTTGTATTTACTTTAAAATGGGAAATGTTACCTTTACTTTCACTCTCTGTGTTTTAGGATTTCTTGATATCTTTTCTAGAAAGATACAAAGAAAACTAGGAGATAGAATATTGGTAGACATCAGTTTGGGAAGTGGATCCAAATCCTTATTTGCCTTAATGAAAGGGGGTGGGCAGCCCAGTGATTCCATGTAGTGCATAGAACTTTCCATCTAGGCATTCACTCAAGTATGGATGTTCTTTAGTTCATACCTGGAACACCAAATGGCTATAGGTGTGGTTGGTCAATCAGTGATCCTTCCTTTTCAAGTAAAATGGTATTCAGTGGGAACTGTCACAAACTCAGCAGCCAGAAAAACTGAATAATGTTGGTGCATAGATGCAGGAGGTCATGTCTTCAAATATAAGCAAAACACAGCAGATACCCATAAAAATCAGGTCTGAAAAATAGAACTAATATCCAACCAAAAAATAGTAGGAGAAGAAAGACAGAAGAAGAAGAAGAAAAAGGTGTTACTTTTTCAGATGTCTCGTTTCTTAAATTGTAATCTTACAGGCAAATCAAATCCAAGTATTTCAACATCAGTTGTCCCAAGCAGTCAAAAGAAACATGGCAATTTACTTATTACTGTATCATAAACATATCTATTATTTATTTATTTCAGCTTATTGCTGAAACAGATGATTATAACAAAATTATACTGAATATTGATAACACCAGGATGACTGCTGAAGATTTTAAGTTGAAGTGAGTATAATTCATTTCTCACCTGCTTCCTTCTAATTCTGTTGAATTCAATAATTTTACCTGAGGAAGGGATACACCACTTTCTTGATTACAAACTCCTAGTAGCTAGTAATAGTACAATTCAAAGGTGGGAGGTTTCACACAATCACATAGTGTGAAGTGTGCCTTTTCAGAATTTTTCCAGCTTGAAGTGCTTTCATCTGGGAGGACACTCCGTTTCATCCCCTTTCTTTCCTGTTTTTCATGCATTGTTTTTCCTCCTTACATAAACAGCCAGCTTTCAATCATCTCTGAGCATCTTCACTCTTCATGGTACTTTGAGGGATTGTTGACCATTTTCCTAGAGGATTTGTTTTTGGGACACTTTTTGCAAATGTGGTAATCATGACACTTCCTGTAAACTCTCCTGTGGATTAGATATAACACTGAAGCTGGTCTCTGTAAGAATGTGGAAGCTGACATTAATGGATTGCGCCCACTCTTGGATCAACTCACTCTTGCCAAGTCAGATCTGGAAATGCAATTTGAATCTCTCAGAGAAGAGCTGATATGTCTGAAGAAGAATCATGAGGAGGTAAGAGTGCCAGTGAACAGAACTCTAACATTCAGAGCTCCTGATTCTTACTTTTCAGACAATAAGCCACCATCCCCAAATTCAAGCATGAATTGAATGATACCCCTGCTGTTCCTTGATGTGTCTTGGCCCAGATAATACTTCTGTAGTAAACAGTCAGTGACACAATTTCTAACCAAATAGTGCCTGGGGAAAAAATGTCTTTCAAGTGGCACCTTGCCATCCATTTTGTGAAGATGCAGCAATCTACCTTCTCAACAAATCTCATATTTCCACATTTTATAGCCAACTTCCTCTTTTATTTTTTTCATAGAGAAAGATGGATAAACATATGGGATATAAATAATTGTGATATAAATAAATATTATGTACAAACACACACACACACAGAGAGAGAGAGAGAGAGAGAGAGAGAGAGAGAGAGAGAGAGAGAGAGAGAGAGAGAGAGAGAGAGTTGGAAAAAATCTCTGGTCTTTTGGTTGAGTAGGCAAATTCAGAATTTGGGGAGTAGATTGTGGCTTGAACGTTCACAAAATTGTTGCCACAGTGAGTCTGGGAAACCCAAAGGACTCAAACATGAGAAAATAAAAATATTATGATTATCTTTGCTAGGAGTAACCAATCAGTAGTTGGTTTTCTAAGAATACTTTTACACAGTATCCAAAGGCATGTTCAGTTCTTTTGCTTTTCATGTCAAAACTCTCAGAGAGAGGGAAGGGAGAAGATTGAAGAAGTCATGGAACTATAAGAAGTTATATTGTCCATAGATAGATCTGGATTACAAAATAAATGTATGCCAGGCATTGAGCCTTCATAAAAACATTTCATGAGGAGGAAATGTAAAACATTCTTCTACTCTGTTTTGGGCTTTTTTACATTACAAATCAAGTTATCCTGCCCATAAAATACTTTTTAATTTCAATGTCTTATGATTCATTTCTTCTTTCCCATTGCTACAGACACTGAGAGGGCTCCGAGGCCAGAGAGGGCATGGTGATGTCAGTGTTGAAGTGAATGCTGCCCCTGGACAAGACTTGAAACAACGTTTAGATCAGCTCCGGTGTGAATATGAAAACATCATTGAACAAAACCGAAAAGAGGTTGAAGTCTGGTATGAAACCAAGGCAAGTGAAATATATTTGAGCGGTCTGTTCATCTTCCAGTGATCAGAAAATGTAAACACTTTTCATCACCAGCAACATATAGAAATATTTTGTGGGGTTTGATGACAAGAGTCTAAGAGAAGCCCAAGTTGCAGGTTGCAAGAAATAACCAAATATCAATTTGTACATCCCCAAAACATCCTAGAAGCAATCTGAATAAAGTTGGGTAAATGGGAGCTGAAAAGCAGGAAATACAGGTCAGAGTCCCACAAAAAATGTCTGAAATTGCAGGTGGTGAGGAAGAAGTGATTAGCATAATTCTTAACATAAGAACAGCTTGTAAGGAGCAGATCAGCAGTTCATTGACAGTTATAAGTCAATTCTGGGAAAGCCATAAATAAGGAGAAAACAACAACAATAACCCCTTTTCCATCCCTTCCCCCATACAAAACATGCATTGTTTATAGCAACCAGTGCCGTTGTGCCATTTTGAAGGGTTGTGCAGTTAGAGAAGGGCTTTGGAGAAAGAGATAAATGGACTAGCCTGTTAAGATGAATCAGGTATTTTCAGAAGAAGAAAGACATCAGTATCCCAACGTGATCTACTCCACTGCCACTCCTCCCAATTTTCCCATGCCACCTACAATAATAATAATAATAATAATAATAATAATAATAATAATAATAATAATAATAATAATAATAATAATAATAATAATAAAGTTGGAAGGGACCTTGAAGGTTATCTAGCCCACCCACCCCTCAGGCAGGAAATCCTCAGGGTGCCGTCGGCCAGACAGTGCCGGCTGGCGACCCCAAGGGGGAGGGCCTTCTCTGTGGGAGCTCCCACCCTCTGGAATGAGCTGCCCCCAGAGATCAGGGTGATCCA